ATTATTATCATAAACTTCCTTTGTCAGTTTCAATATGTGGTTGAATGGTAAGTGCTAAAGCTAGCTGGTGCTGCTAGGATTCTATGAAAATAACCATGTAATGTGACATTATTCTTAGTGTAAAGGTTTACAAGTTAACATTTGTCTAGCAGTTTTTGAGACTTGAGCTGTTTGAAGACATCAGTAGCTATCTACAACAGGTAAGATATTTATCACTCAACTCCACTTCAAAACATGAGAATGTTTACCTATGCAGAGTATGTTACTTAAACATTCAGAGCGATTCGTTTTTATAAAAACAGAAACAAAAACATGCACCCATGGCCCTTTCACACACCTCCTAGATCAGCTGAACTCCAGCTGCGGCTGCAGGGAGCTGACGCAGGAGGCTGAGCTGAGTTCATCTTTTCTTATCAGCTCTGTTGGCAGAGGGGAGAAAAACAGACAGTTTTAAAGACATGATCTAACTCAGCAGCTCTTATCAGTACAGTAAAGAGTGACACGCCGCAGGTCAAAGAACGACGACTTTAAAAACTCTAGAACAGCCTTATCTCAGAACTCCGGTCCAATCTTATCTGAACTGTAGATACATCAGAACTGGAACTGAACTTCTGTGTGCTCAGATTCAGACTAGATTTATTACATTTTAGCCTTTGCACAGGATTTTTAACTCACTTGATTAAAAAAAACCTTTTTGAAAACCAAGTTTCATTTTATATTTTAAAAAACAACTTCTTCCTACAAACTCATAATGTACTATAAAGAGTATTTTGTTTGCTACATTTGAGCTTATTTAATTATTGTTTTAACTGGATCAAGAAAACTTTTCAGATAAACTGTTACATAAGCCCATCAGACATACTTCTTGTTTATTCTGCAGCTGATTAAACATAAACAAATAAAAAAGCCTCCTCTGCTCTGCTACATCATCCTATTTTCAAACTATCAGCAGCTTTAAATGTTAAATAGTGTGAACAATTATTATTACAGTTCCGTTGTAGCTAATTTAGTAGTTAAAAAAAACAGGAAAAAGGTCATCCTTCATTTGTTAAATTAGTTTTTTTTCTTCCTCACATCAATATAAACTCCTGCAGACATATTAAACACAGTCATCTTGTTGTAAGAAAACACTTCAGACCAATTCTGAGTTAATTTAGCTGTTTTCTGTCACTCTGCTGACATCTAGTGGTCATAGTTTGAACAAACACGTGGCTTTTATTCTATTGACAAAAAAAAATACTTTTGCGTGTGGTTACATTTAACATGAAATGGGAAAAAAATCCAAATGTTATCATTTTAAATAGATTAATTAACTGCCTCTGTAACCTGAAAGAACTATTAATGTGATCAGGAAATATGTTTTTAGCCAGGTTTTTATTTTGTTTTGTGGTGTGTAATTTCACCCTATGTTTGCGTTTTTTACTTGCATTGAAAAAAAAAAAAACAACAACAAAATACTTTACTTAGGATTTAGTAGCTATGATCTTTTTTAATCTAAAACAATCAAAATACATACTCAGCTCTTTCTCCATCC